GAACCGAGCTTTGGGGACATAGCCAGTAAAACCTGTCAAAATGACAATTGTTAAACAAAGATTGGTGAAAAATTCATTAAAATACCTTGGTAATCTTGGTAAGCCCATCTCTGGCTCACCTGAGATGAAATACTTATGTGGGCTGTTATCCTCCATGAGGTAAGGGGAGCCTTGTGGCATCCAGGGGTCCGGGGGCTTGTAGGGGGCAGGATCATTAGATATTGCAATCAGAGGGCTGATCGATCTCCCAGGCTACAACAAAGGACAACCATTAGATGTAGCTTTGAATTTAAAACTAGATATTATTGCAAGCTGAAGAAGGTAGCTGATGAATATAGCTAAAACAAAATAACAGCATCTATCTATCTATCTATCTATCTATCTATCTATCTATCTATCTATCTATCTATCTATCTATCTATCTATCTATCTATCTATCTATCTAATCAGGGGAGGGAACTTTTACAGCTTGTTTCATCACAATGGGGTGATAATTGCCAGAAATCATGTAGTGTCTTGATTGGAGAGCTTGTTTAGTAACAGTTCTTCCTTTCATTCACAGGCATGTGACACTCGACCTGCTTTGATACTGGATATTTAGCATGTATAATTAAACAGGGTGACCCTACACAGGGGAGCTGTGAAAGAGGAGCAAACCGACTGTGACATCTTACTTTGAAGCCTGGGACGCTGTTGTTGCCAGCTAAAGACAGGTCAGCAGAAGCTATACGAAGTCTCTTCTTTTGTTCCTGGCTGAACTCCAATATTGCATCTCGACAGGTTTCGGCATATGTTTTGCAGAAGTAGTTTTGGCGCAATGGAACAAAACCTTAGAGCACAGACAGATATGTTAACAGATTTGCAAACTTGACACTAAGTACTGCAATCCCCCAAGCTGCTAATAACCTGTGTATCCCGGTATCATTTTCTCCAGGTTCCTGTTCCTTCCATGCTGGCTCCTCCAGGTCTCATCGTGGGGCTCTGTGTCCGTTTCCTTCTCTGTGGATGGGAGACGACCGGTATGGAGCACAAGCCTCTGTGAGTGAGATACATCCGGGGAAGACAGGAGCTTTGCTGTTAACTGACCATAAGTCTGGCCCATGTGAAACTTCAGCTGAGGACAGTAGCCTGCATACCTGCACACAACCATCAGCAGATGTTGGGAATGATGATTATGTTATAATGATGTCAACCATGTGGACATAATGTACATAGTGGACATACACGCATTGCATGAGTCAAACATTTCCTCCACAATGCATTCTGTGACAGAAGTGTCATTTTAAAAAAATTTTGGGAAAAAATGTCTGACTCTTTTGTCTAATTTTGCTGCTAGCATTTTATGTATTCTAAATACACACAAGGTGCGTTCCAATTTGTGTTCTTGTGCAAGTAGTGTGTTCACACTGAAATATGCACTTCAAATACCTGGATGATGCACTTAATTATCTGAAAAAACAAAACAAGTGTGGAATGTTGGACACTTCATGCACTAACTCAACCATCGCAGCTTTACTTAGCCTGCGTAGCGGAGGGGAAGGGGCTATCAGACTCCAATGCTGAATGACAAAATATCCTTTTAAAATTCATACACTACAAGGTTGAGTACATAATGGATAGTATAAGTATAGTAGTGTCATTTGGGACACTACAATTACATTATATTTTCACATTTTCGGCATAATTTGACAAAAAAAATGGTGATCCATATGACCCCCAGTTGATGAATCAATGCCCTCTGATGTGAAACAATAGGTGAGTATAAGAAAAACTGTCAAAAAACAACAACAACACGGTTTTACAATGTCGCCAGCACATTGTGAAGCGTGATGTAAGCGTGTTGTGAAACTCAAGTGAGAAGTGACAGTGACAGTAGGCTAGTTACTCCAAGTGATGCTTTCGATTAACTTCTCACGTGAGCTTCTGAATTCACAACATGCTGATGTGGTGCTTTACAACTTTCTCATGAACCTGTGTATGACAGTTGGGCGGAAGCGTAAAAAAAAGTTTATAATATTTGTATTTCTCTTACACACACATATAATTCAGAAGACATTGATTCATCAACTGGGGTTGTAGGGATTACCATTGTGTTTGCTTTGTGTGGTTTATGAAGTGTCAGCTTTGTGGGTCCCGTAAACTTCCATTATATGGACAGACAGAGATGGATTGTTTTCTAAAAATCTTCATTTGTGTGCATCTAAGAAAATCAAATACATCTAGGATAGCATTTTAATGGTTTAAGATTGAAAGTCTGAGTCAAGATTAAATAAACACAAACAATACATGTGCTAAATGAATGATGGATTGAAATTCCCTGGCGGACACAGAGTTAGTGAAGTCAGTGATATTTGATATTAGCATTTCCAATGATATTGAAAATATTGTTGATTGATTCATTTAGACAGGCAGACAGATAGAGATAGATTACAATGACCACCAGTGAATTTATCCAGTAAAACAGTCAAGAGTGTCAGCTTCATTTGAAGGTAGGCTACATTTAAAATAGCTTTTTGTAGTTTTTGCAGTTAACGTTACTTCAACATAAACCCATACATAAACTATCATTCAAATTAAAGAAAGTGCACTTTTTCAAATTCATAAAAATACCAACTGCTGAACATCTGGAACAAGATAAGTAACAAACCACTTAATAACAATTCAGTGAAATAACTGAATTCTCACCCAGGGATGTATTGCGGGTCGGGTGTCACCAGCACTTTGCTGAATTTTGGAGGAAACTGCTCCATCTTTTCAAACCCGCTGCAGTTGTGAGTGTTTGTGTAACGGTTGCTAGTGAGGGAGTCAAGGCGAGCGAGCGTCCGCGTGCCATTATTATGTCAGAGAGCGCGTAATCACATGACGTATGGTGTTCTCTGGTCATTGCGATGAAAGCACTCGATAAAGTATGCAGTCACCTACATTAAATAAAATAATTATTTGATAAACAAGCATAAAATAAGTTTTCTTAAACAAATAATTCCAGTTAAACTGTTTGATGATAAACTCTGCTCTATCAGCAGTTGTTCTAAACGTCGATACTGCATTGACCGATTTAAAATCGCATGGGCTCGCTGCATTTGGCTGGCATGTTGATTGTTGACACTTAGCATGATGACCAGTCAGTTAGTTGTGATGCTGCAGCCTCTTGTGGGTGCTAGGAGAAATGCACCCGGATATATTATTTATAGCCACAAAAAGGAAATGGCTCTAATGAAAAAGGTTAAGCGCGTTCGTTATCTATAAATAAAAAATGATTCCGTTGACCCAAGAGGACAAAACCTAGCCTATTTACTGACTGGAAATTGATTTGTTTTAGACGTGTTATTAAAGGTATAGTTCTCCAAAAAATTATACTTCTGTCATTAGCTCATTACCCTCATAACGTTTCAGTCCACGAGATTTCTAAAGAATGAATCTTAACGGACTGCCCTTTTCAAAACAGTAAGTGGCCAAAACACACACACACACACACACACACACACACACACACACACACACACACACACACGCACGCACGCACACACACACACACACACACAGAGAGAGAGAGAGAGAGAGAGAGAGAGAGAGAGAGAGAGAGAGAGAGAGAGAGAGAGAGAGAGAGAGAGAGAGAGAGAGAGAGAGAGAGAGAGAGAGAGAGATATTGAAGATTCCTGTTTTTATGTTCCCTAAACAAATCAATAGTTTGAACACCTTGACATGTGCAAATACCTATTTAGGTACAGTATAACTTTAATTGAAGTCAAACTGTATTATGTATAATCATAATGGCATGAATAATCAAGTTATTAACACAGATTGTTGACATAATTCCATAAACCCAAACATCCTGAATTAAATTTCTTCATTGGAGTGCATTGTACATTTGCTTTGCATATCATTATTAGTGGTTAACAGTTTTTCTCTGATGTTGCATACTTTCATTTTTCCTACACAGAGAGGAATTCTGATGTTATCAATGGAAAGGAATGTCTATTCCTCTGTGCAGCTTCTGCATAGCTGTGAAATTAATGAAACGCTATGGTCCTAGTTTCAGTGCATTCTTTTTATATAAATTATATCCCATGTGATCAAATGAGTCAAGTACCATTTCTCCAAACATGGTTCATTTGACCAATATTATTTACCAAATGAACAATGCTTAACTTTAAATTGTTACAAAAACAGTTTTTGTTAATTTCTCTCGTGTACTGTATATTTATGAATTTGCAAAGTACCATCATATTATGTTGGATTAAGAGCATAAACATGTCTAGAACATTGGAGGACTAAACTCATTTTTTGTCTAACGTATGTTTTTTTTCTCATCAAATTCAATTATGAATTACTGCATATTACTGTCGCCATTTAACATTTCTACAGTAAAACACATGTCAAATATGAAATGTTTAGCTACTTAAATCTGCCTTGCACCTCTTTACCGGACCGGTAAAACTGAAGTAGCCTATCGCACTAGAAATCTTCTTTGATTTGATTGGCCATCTCAGTCGTTTTGCATTGTTGAGCACTGTTAGACTGAGGTATAACCACCCTAGGTAGATAACCACCCTAAAAACGTTTTATCATCCTCAACAAACAAAACAAAACTGCATAATTAAGTGTAGCAAGTATATCTGAGTATCGGGGGTGTGTGTTGAGGTGTACTTGTCCCCAATAATGTCTATGGTGGCCCTGTGTTGGATAAATTGAGATCTTTTCAATGCTATGGAGACATTTACATATTCTTCTCAGGATACATACCAGCAGTTTCTTTGTTTAAGGGCTTTGTGAAAGTTTCAACACCCTCATACATGTCTTGACAGATCTGCCGAGAACATGAGCTCAGGATTGTAGGAACGGCACCGGAAGCGGAGCAGTTGTCAGAAGCCGATTACGAAACATATGAGTTGGAATGTGGGCGGCCCTTGAAAGGTGTTTTTAGTTCAATTTGACAAAAACCGACCTGCAAGTGTCTGGTCAATTGTGAGAAGATCAAGGTGCTGCGATTCAACAGAAGATCAACGTGTTCTGATTGACTACGAGAGCCTGAGGATAGAAATAGAATACTGGAAGAGAGACATTCATTATCAATGAACCTATATAGGAATTTTGGGAATCTTCTTGAGAGTTGGGTGACTGAAGGCTACCCGGATTTACACTATCAGTCGGGACATGGTGTGGACATATTAGACTCGGTGTCTAGGGACTCCGTCCCATTATCCAGTGTAAAATCAGAATCCGAGGACTCAGGATTTGAGACGGTTAGTACAACTCCCTGCCATTCTCACCAGTGTAGTGCATTGACATCTGATGCATCACACCCAGTTTTTGGCTCTACAGTGGATCATGTTCAACCTTCACCCCTGTCTCCTTCTATGTGCTCCTCCTCATCCTCATGTGTCTCTCTCAGCTCTGTGGCTCCAAAAACAACATGTCTGAAGGTGGAGCAAGCTTTGAGAAGGACAGAATCACCCTCATGGAGAGAATCTTTGCACCAGATGGAAAGGGGGGCAACTGGCCCACTGTATCGCTGTAACACGGCCTCTTTTCCAACCAACTGTCACCCAACCAGCTCCAGACCACATCATCAAGTTGCCCGCCCAAGGAGAACACATTCACAGCCTTCAGATCCCAAGAAAGCAGAGCTCTACAGAAAAAGTCTTAAATATGACCAGCATTGCCCACCTTTAGACAGCCAGTTGGCGGTAAGCAGTCAAAATCTACTTCCTTTAAAGATGTTTGTTTTTAATACATCACAGTACAATAGAAAGTGACTGCTAATCTAAAATATAAACATTTTCATATTCATTGAAACCATTTTGCTACAATAGGGAACACTGGTTAGCATATCTCTTTATTTGCCATAAAATAGTTCACTTTTATGACTAATGTAATCATGCTGTTCCACCTCTGAACGAACATGTGCTTTGCTACCTCATTGTGAGCTGCTTCAGATGCACTTGACACGCACATTACACGCTTATTTTATTTCATGTCACACACTTGACATCAGACACTCCTCACATTCCTCACACTCCAGAATTACTTGTCTGGTATTTGCACCAGGTAGACTTCATGTACTGTATTGTTGCATGTCTTGGAAAACAGACATTAGTTATAGTAGTAGTAATGTGCATCAGTAGCATTGTATAGAAATTAATCATTTAATAATTATATCAAATAATTTACCATTAAAGTTCAATTGACAGCCTAATATAAAAGCACACTATACCATTCAAAAGATAGGGATTGGTATGATTTGACATAAGTATTTTATGCTCACCAAGACTGCATTTGTTTAATAAAAAATGGAATAATATAACAATTTCTATTGTGATAAATTTTGAAATGTAATTTATTCCTGTAATCAAATCTGAAATCATTCTGATATGCTAATTTGATACTCAAGAAAGATTTCTTATTATTATCAAAGTTGAAAACAGTTATGCTGCTTAATATTTGGAAACCGTGATACATTTTTTCAGGATTTTTGATATAATCTGAATCATGAAAAGAAAGTTCAAAAGAAAAGCATTTTGAATATTTTGTAACAATATAATTGTCTTTACTATCAACTTTGATCACTTATGCATTTGCAATATAATTTATTTATATTTATTTATATATAACACACACACACACACACACACACACACACACACACACACACACACACACACACACACACACATATACTGTATGTATATATATATATATATATATATATATATATATATATATATATTACATACATACATCTATATATTTTTTATAGTTTTTAACAATTTTATAATTGCTTAAAAGGCCGATTCATGTATTCACAGTTGAATGTGATTTTCGAAGCTGTTTTCGACGTATTAGACAAAAAAGGAGTTTCAAGAAATGTTCAAGTCCTTGATCCAAGATATGATGTGATTTGATTATGATTATATTATTTTGATAATTTTTTTTATTTTTTTATTACATAATCTCCCCAGGAGTAACAGGTGAAATGGTCAAGGCCAAAGGCATAGAGCTCTGAATGCACTTTGCCTGTGTCATGTGAGTCTTCATGGTCAAGAAATGACAAGCAGTCTTCAAGTTGCATAACCTTTTATGACTAGCTCAGGTACATAATATATTATAATATAGTACATAATGAGCAGGTTACCCCTTACATATTCAACCACACTGAAACACGCGTTTGAATCTTTCTTGAACACATGCACAGTATAGACATCCTTTCTATGTGTCTCTGGTGTGGATCTGTGTCATGCGATGCTAAACAAGCGCTCTAAGACTGTGAACCGGTCGGTTCAGGTGAGAGAGGAATGACTGGAATGGTGCCAGCGGGCTGAGAGGAATGATAGAGATTTGTGCGGGACATGTCTGAATGTTATCGCTTTAACGGGAACACTGGGGGAAAGAAAACTCTATAACCATAACCAAAACAATCTTTTCATTCTAATAAGGAAATAACAAATGTCTTCTTGTATCATTTTGAAAGAAATTGGGTGTTAAAAGTAACCAGAGAGTGTTTTAGTGTAGTTATTGCAATTTTTGAAATAGAGGAGTCTAGAGGGGCTAATTGTCACATGAGGAAGCGGTCACAATGTTTATAGAGTGGTGCAGGGATGACGTCAAATCCTGAAAGACTAATTCGCCCCTGGTTCGGTCAACGTAAACTGCACACACTCACACCCCAAACTGTCTTATCTAGTCACTTAATAGAAACATACGTTATGTTTTGGGGGGTGCAGTTTACTTTGTAGTATAAAACTTCAAAGTATCATCAAGTTATGTTTACCACAGGCTTTATTTTACTCATAAATTGAAAAACACCATTATAGAACCCCATGGGAAAATCATGAGGGAACCAGCGGTTATAAGGCTATAAGGCTTTGACTCAAACTGTTTTTTTTGTGTTTTTTTTATGTTGGTTTAACAATAATTTTAATTAAAATAATTTTTGTGAATTATGTCCTTAAAATTTTAAATCATCATTTGTTTATATTAGCTAGTGTTCTCAATAAAAACCACACCGAATACATTCAGACACAGGTCAACTGTATTCAGGTCGATTTAACTTTAAGGTTGAACTGGTTTCAGATATATATATTCACATACTGCTCTTTATTAATGTGAATTGTGGGGTTTTATTTTAAAATACTTTTTTCTATCTCAGCTTTATGCAGAGTCAATCACAAGCCGTTTGTCGGTTGATTTCCCTGTAAAGTGCGAACACTGTGGAGTTATCCAAACATTACTCAGTTTAATCAGCAACATTATCTCAGGCTACATCTTAATCCGGATAGATTTGAAAACGAGGGTTTTCGTTTCAAAACACTCTCCGTCCACACTAGCGTTTTCAAGCATTTTCCAAAAGTTTCTCATCCACACTGAAACGTCGGAAAACGCTAAATTCAACTTACAGCGCATGTGTAAACCCTCATAAAAGCTCACTGAGATGATACAGACGGAAGAGACATAAAAACGTTATCACACAATTCCTCTGGCATGATCATTTTATTTGGCAAAATATTTCACCATTCACTGAGGGGTCCAGGTCGCACTCGCTCACCATTATTTGTTTGGTCTAAAACGCAACTGCTCTCATGTTTTACCGCAGGACAGCAAATGTGAGTGAATTTTATGTCATCTTTGCAGGACTGTGATATGAAGAGTGTGCAAAGTAACATATTTTAGCAACTGTGTGAAAGTGAATAGCACATAACAGGCATGATACCGGTATAAACATGAATATCAATGGGTTCAATATGCGTCACATGACTAAACTTACATCATCGTTTTCAAATACCTCCGTTTTCACACGGAAGGCCAAAACGGAGAGAAAAAGATGCGTTTTCAAACGGAAACGTATTAGTATGGACAATGCCTAAGCCAATTGCATAAGTCTGGGGGGAGACTATCTGTTCATTCAACCAATAGCTGAAAGGTGGCATGTTCAGAAAACCTGATTAGAAACATTCAGTCATCATTTTAGTAAATCCGTTTCACGCACTTCTGCTTTAACATTTTTTATTTGCATTCACTTCCTTTAAAGGGACTTCAGAAGCTCTGCTTCCCTATGTTGAGATTTTCATTTGTTCAAACTGCTCAGAGCAGCGCAGAATAGACGTTCATATCTATAATCTGTCAACTATTTAGTAACAAGATTAGCAAAATCTGAATCTATAGAACAGAGATCATGTTTTACATTTTATACAGTTCACCTAATGTTCTTTGATTAGGTTTTGCCTTTTTATATCCCACCAAATTAGTTGATAAAAAGCTGTACTGTTGCCAACACTGGGAATCTTAATGAATACAGGTCTTGATCTCTCTGTCTCAGCAGTTTGCAGACGGTAATCAATACAGGCTGGACAAGCTCTCTCCAGGGTTGCTGTATCTGGAGCAAGTGTGCAGGATGCTGGAGAACATCGCAATGCTACAGCAGCAAAACCACAGCCTGCAGAAGGAGTTGGAGATCCTGAAGAGTCAGCATGCTGAAAAAGAGGTTAGAGACATTGATATATCGTACAAAAGTTGCTATTTTAGGTCTTATAACTCTCTAAAGACTTTCCAGGTCTATCAAGTTGGTGTCTTTCTCATTAGCTATGTTTCCATCCACACGTTTTTATCCGCATTAAGTGATATCGAATGAAAAATGCCTTATGGAAACAGTCAAATTCGATTGAATTTCATGAATATCGACTCAAATGAAATACGATCGGTCTCATCGGATTTTTATCTTGATCGATATACGGCTTATGCGATAAATGCGGATGGAAACGTTATTATGGTGCGATCCATTTTGCCTAGTAAAACTTTGTTCGCAAACGTTTGCTTGAATGTTGTGCAATTCGGTGAGAAAATGAATGGAAACACCTTAACATGTCTCAAATCAATTCGATATACCAATTTGATCGCAAAACAGCATGTGACGTCATTACGCACAGGTTTTTATCCGCTTTAAAGCCGTTTGATGGAAACACACTTTCACCAGCTTTATTCGCATGAGGTTTTTTACTGAACTTCAGATAATTCGATTGACAAGTGGATGGAAACATGGCTATTGTTTCCTGTAAACTGAAAGCTCATATTTCCAGCACATTTAATCTCTAACTTAATGTTTGCAGTGTGTAAGCTTTCATAAGGAGGAAATAAGATATCCAGCCAGTCAAAGTTTACAGATTCTGGGTCATGAAGATCCAGACAGTGGACCGTCTCGCCTAAAGGAACCCAAGGGGTTTCGGCACAGATCAGTATCCGACACTCAAGCAGCCGTCAGCCGTCACAGTGAGTCGCGATTGTTTTTGACAGATGAACTCAGTATTAGTTTAAATATGTTGAAAAGAGAAATTCTGGCTTTAGTGGATGTCTGTTTAAAATAAATGTCTGCCCTACAGGGAGAGCAAGGTTTGCTCAAGACGAACCTATTGCAGATATCTTAGTCGAGGAGCCTGAGGGTAAAGATCCTGTAAGTGAACAGTGATGATATCATTATAGATATTAAAGGAATTGGTTGACCTAAAATGAAAACTCTGTCATTTACTCACACGATGTCTTTAGCAAACCTGTATGATTATGAACGGAGTTATTGATAACAGACTATTATAAAAAAGCTTCTTTTTTTCCATACAATAAAGGAAATGTTGACCACGACAAATATTTTCATTTAATAATGACTTTAATTTCTGTCTTTTCCCTTATATAAAGCTATAGTATGGCTTTAGAAGACTTATTAGATGGCATAATTATTATAATGGCTCATAAAATCATATGGACTTATGTTACTTTTCAAGCCCCTCTTCCTTATCCATATTCCTTTTTATTTTGTGTTGCACTGAAAAAATAAATTCATACAGGTTTGGAACGACATGAGGTGTGTAAATAATGACTAGATTTTTTTTTTTTTTTGGTGAACTATCCCTTTAATAATAGCATTAACAGCATGAAAATGTGGATGTTGGAAGTTATTATAATATCACTGTTCCTCTCTTTGTTAAATTTAGCTACTGGAAAATGAACACAAAAAGCTAAGTAAGATCCAAAAGCTGAAATTTACATCATTTAGAAGGCAGGGAACACAACAGTCTGACAGCGAAAGTAAAAGGTAAGAATTCAAGAAAATCAAAGTCTGTTTTTATGTGATCCCTGTTTTAATGATTATGTAACATTTTATCATTTGTTAATGTAGATTTATTAAGTGTATCTTCATAAATGTACCTTTTCTCAAAGCTTTCAGCCTAAGAAGAAAACAAAACTGCCAAAGATTTTCAGGAGCAGAACGATAACCACACGCCTATGACATTCAGGTCACACTGATGCCTAGTGATGGTGTTTCAAAGTAGTCATACACCTCCCATTTACCTGAGGATTATGGCACTATTATGTGTAACTGTGTATGTTTTAGTCAAGTCCTTTGCACTTAAAAAAGTACTGAGTAGTACTAATAATCTTCATGTACTTAATTGTTCTGTGGAACTGCCAATGCACTTTTTATTTGTTATATTTGCTACAGAGACAGCAACATAGTGTCGGTCCAAATCTGGCCCACACCTGGTACGTGAGGAATCTATGTGTACCGGATGTGGGCCAGATCTGGGCCGACACTATGTCGCTCTCTGGGTATGGTGCATTTGCATGCACTGCAAATCGTTGTAATTGTTTCATTTTCATTGCTGGAACCTTTCATTTTGATTTAGTATATTTTCATTGATCATGGTCAATCTCAGTGCATCAACCTTTGCTGCTAAAACAATTTTTCTTTTACCTTATTTTGTACGTGTAAAGTGTTTTAATAATAATTGTTTTATGTAATAAAATATACAATATACATCTGTGTTTGCAGGTTTACATCCTGTCGCATATCCAGTAGATTACATTGTCCTAGCAGAATTTTATATTTTGCATTTTTAGTTTTTTTGCATTGATACAGTTTTTAATATATTCCACAATACAAAATAATTACTGAATTTATCCACAATATGCAAAATATGAATTTATACACAACTATCACAAAAGGCTACAAACAGTCATTGATGCTTGAGGAGGTAGTAAACTTTTGAACATGATCATTTGTTTTGGCTTGTGGAATATATGTAAATATGTGTATATGTATTTGTAATGTCAGTTATCTCCATCAGGTCAGTGATAAACAAAATGTACTTTTTCAGATTCGTCTTACTTTACTTATATATATATATATATATATATATATATATATATTGCAATGATAAAAAAAAAAAAAAAAATCTAATTCAGTGACTAAGGCTGCATCCTAAATTGCACACTTCTCTACTATATAGTAGGTCAAAAACAGTATGTGAAAAGAGTATGTACGAATTCACAGTATAAATAGTAGGCGAAAAGATCCAGGATGACCTGCTACTACCAAGATGTGCGCATCCAATGGACAGTTTACTAGGATTGTGCCCGAAGCCTAAATCCGAATTCGGAAAGGCACGGTAATGAGTAATGCATTCTATATAGCTCCTAAAAGGAGGCTTGCTGCGGTAGTCGGTTACAGTACAGTACATCAGATTTCACTTATCACAAGATGATAGTAAGGAGACATGACTCAGGATTGAGGAGATCCTGAGCGTCATTGACAAATATCTTATCTTGAAAAATATCGGGTCAGTACTGTCACTCCCTATACACAGAGTGATAGCTAATTCAAAAGCCAAAGTGATTCATTTTGTAATAACGAACTATAAAGAACATACTTTTTTAACGTTCACAAGTAATTACCTTATTCAAAAGTACTATCTATTCAGACAGTATGTGATTTTGAATGCAGCCCAGATTTAGAAATTGTTAGCAAAATGGCTGAATTGCTTACAGCACCTAAATAAGCTACTAAAAGTTTAGACCAAACAAAAAAGTTTGACTTTAAATTCTTTATTAGTCTTTATTATACCCAGTATGGGGGAGATAGACTTCCCTTGGCATTCCCATGTAAAGAGATGTCAATGACGAACACATCCAAACAAGAGATTGAGGGCTATAGGGAAATCATTTCATACATAAAATACATTTACTCTGATATTTCATATCTCTGTCTTTGCACACAAGTGTCCTTTTCACTTCAAGTCCACATAGCATCCTGTGCTATTAAATATACAGATACATCTGTGACCCTTCGGAGAAGGTGGATGTGTGTGACTCAAGGTTTCAGATGGTGGGCACAGGTGGATAGCTTTTGCGGTGAGTTGTGCCGGTCATCAGCCCTCTACATGATGCCACAGGAGGAAAGAGGGTTGGCAATGTGGCAAGTGCAAGCCGACTGACAGTACTGGCGGACCGTCTGATAGCAGCTGCGGTCACCGTCGGTGCCCCACTGCACGGCCCCCGCCGGGTCGGGTGGCAGCCGGCTGAGGATGCTGGTGTTGATGGCCAGCGCGGCTAGCCCGTAGTCGGTGAAGAGCACGGTTTCGCGGCGGCAAGTGGGGCAGGAGATGAACTTGTACTTGGGACAGGACTCATACAAGATCTGCAGGCACTCCTCACACACCGAGTGCAAACAGGACAGGATACGTGGCCGCTTGCCGGCAAAGTTATAGGTGTGTCCACACGTGGGGCAGTCCAGTGGTTCGCATGGCATTACTGGGCCTGAGGAGGTGGAGGAGGAGGAGGAAGAGGTGGAGGAAGAGCGGAGCACGTACTGGTTGACGATTACGTTGTCCATCTTATAGTGGAACTGATGGTAGCAGATGTCGGACGTGCTGGTCTTGCGCTGGGCAAGATAACTGGCTTCACGGCGGAGGACGGGGGCAGGAGGAGACACTAGGGGTCTGGGTGGGACCACAGTGTTCCCATTGACCTCCATGGACAGGTCGCCACATGCCTGGTTAACAATCACCTCGCCCTCACCTCCTCCATCCCAGGCCACACGGGGAGGTGGTGCGTAGCGAGGCTGGGTCACAGGGATGGGACACTCCCGAGGGAACTTCTCCGACTGGATGATCTTGACGGTGTCCATAGGGATGGTCACAGGTTGGCGCCGGAGGCAGGACATTCACTCCTGGGTGTGGTGTTCTTGGCTAGAGGAACTGGATGTAGCGTACGGTCCTGCAGAGAACGTCTTCAGTGCACTGGGGGAGGACACTCAGCCATTGCAGGGGACGTGAGGACGGATGGGTTTGTCCATTGCTGTCTCAAAGTCCCTCCTTGGTTACAGGCTGCGTCACCCTGAATCTTTATGCGGCACAGATGGATTAAGACTTCCAGCCAGTGCACAGTATAAAAAGCCCTGAAGGACAACAGACGACTGTGTCTTACTTCAGATGTCACAAGAAGTTGCAGCTTGTGGCTCCAGTGGTTTACAAAGTTTTGAGGCAATGAATTACACCCTGTTCACTGATATTGCACAATTGAGAGTTTGATGTAATGTGATATTCAATTATATTATTTCTTACAAATAAATGGCTGAAGTCCATCACACTCAAGATCAGAAGATATGTTGGCAATTGTTTCAGTGTTTTTTACTGTTACAGCACATTTATTTGGACATAAATGCAATAAGGACCTAAACAAAGAGTACCTTGAAGATAATCTTGAGATCTTACTTAGAAATACTGTTTAGTTTAATACTGTTGTTAGCCAAACATCTGTAGACTTTCTCATAGGTTGCTTTATGAGTTTCAGAAAGGAACTGATGCAACCAGCGTAACAGAAACTACATCCACCTCAATCTCACAACCTTCTTCCTGTTTCAGGTCTGGTATGACCATGCCCTTTTCTTGCTTCTTCTCTTGATTGACTGCACTTACACCTCCCTGACCTTTGTTTTGATAAGCAAAGTCTTTTCAGGGAGGTGCTCATGTGGCATCGGAAAGATCTGGAAGGCGTTTTCCTAGCCCTTAAAAGACCAGAATTCCTTAAGGGGTCTGGGTTGAGCTTGACAGATTGTGCGTCCACTCTTTGGTGACGTGACAGGTCTGAGAGTGTCTCAGGAGTCTTGCCAGACCATACTTGTTTCCAGCACTTTCCCCAGGGTGGCACAGATATGCAGACTCATAGGTAGTGGTGTTTCTTTTCCTGGAGGAAAAAAATAAAACAGTTCAGGTGATGCTAATGCAAGGACACAGCTCAGCCTTTTCCAGGCCATTTGCATGCGTTCTTGGGAACAGTGTCTAAAAAGTGTCCTGTCATCTATAGCTAAAAAAACAGCAATGGGCAAATTTGGATGAAGAAAATGTAAGAGCTGATTTTGTGCAAAAGACTGTGATCTGCGCAACATGTCCATTCACAGCAGATATCTGGAACCCCGCAGCATCTTTTCCAGTCTAAAATACTGCCTTGCTCTTTCTACCAGCTGCCATCTGGGGCCCTGTGGGGCATGGGCACCGTGGAGGAAGAGACTGAGGACCTGACCACAAAACAATCTGTCCAACTGCTATAAACCAATACATGCATTACAACACAACACTTCAGAAGCCCACACCTCTAAAATGGCTGCCAGTGCTTATTTAAAGTAAATGAGAATTGCTGTTCGCAGCCCATTTTACTTTCATAATGTGACATATTTCCAAATGAAACAGGATGGTCAACAAGAAATAATGTAGGATTTGATTTAAAACATTGACATACACTTTATTTTATTTAGCATTAATTGAATGTATGGTGAAAAGTGGGTGTGACATACCAGAAAAAAGATTATGAAGAGAAACATTTAGGCTACCAGTAAAGTGTTTATCATAAGACGGTAATTTGCATTTAAGTAAAAAAATGTATGTTTTAATTTCACATTGACTTAAAGCATAAGGTATGAAACACTGTGCTATATTTACATTTAGTAGACATTTTATCCAGGCTGACTTACTGTAGATTCACAAATGTATTGTGACATATTTGGGAATAGTTTGTGAATATGGTCACAGCTAAAGGGAGTTGTTAGGCATGAAACATGCAGAGCCCCGTAACCTCTTTAGTTGTGATATTTTCACATTATACAGTAGCATGGCTTGAGTATTTTATTGCTTTTTTTATAATAATATTAATGACACTGATATACAGTGTGTTTTCAGTTTCATAATGCTGTCATATGTATTTTCCAGTCAGCATCCAGGACCGAAACAATCTGTTTTAGTTGTAGTATGTCATTAGTTGATGTATAGATGAACATGAGAAAATGTGTAACAATATTAAGAATTATCGTCTGAGAAAAAAATGCTGTGGTTGGGTGTGGTTTGTGAATGTGTGTGTGCTTTATTAACAGCGGTGAGAACATTGACACATCTGTAAGAGTTCTCTGCATGCTGTGCAAGATGTGATGATAGAGAATGTATTAGAGAGAGAAAAAAGAGAGGGAGGAAGAAAAAAGCAGAGAGAGCAAGCTGACCTACATGCAGCAGAAAAGGTAGAGAGAGAACATGCGTCCTTTTACTCCACATCCACACTGTGCTAGCCATCTTATGTGATAAAATAGAGCGCTTCCATTAAATTAACAAAGCTGCTTACACTGCATGCGTGTGACAGCACTTTAATGATTATCACAGGAGCAGTTTGTCGCATAACAGTGCTCTGCTCGCTACCAAAGTCGAAGAGGGGAATGGTACGTTCATGTCATGTTGGAATTACCATAATTACCAGCTTCCGATTAGTAAAAAAAAACAGTCTTTGTACTCGTAATTACACACTGGAAACTCAGAAATTAATGAAACCCTGCTGTGACACCATATAAAAACAACCAACATGGGAGTGACATAAACACTTAAAGTGATATTTCACCCAAAATGAAAGATCATTCATTATTTATTGTTATTTACTGTCATTATTGACTCACCCTCTGTATTTTTTTCTGTGAAACAAAAAGAGAATTTGAACACCAGA